CCCCAAAACCCCAAAACCCCAAAACCCCAAAACCCCAAGGTTATTAAATTATATAGAAATTTAGCTAAGATGACACTGAACAAGCCTATTGTGCTCTTATTACTGATGATCACAGTCTTATGTATGGCCAAGAACAAGAATTGTTACCTTACGACAAGAAATGAGACACTAAACTTGCAAGAGAGGCCAATTGGTAATTATTAGCAACTTTTATAGGTTACAGCATGTTATGATTTACTTTGTGATGAGTAGTAGCTCATCTTTATTAAGACTCCTTTCCTTGGCTTAATCAATAATATAGCCAATCTCTTACTTAGTGAGCTAGAACTCACTCGTGAGAGTGATAACACCATGGGAAAAAGAGACAACCAAGAACCTATCGATAGATCTCAAGATGCATCAAGCATGACAACTATTAATATTTTAGATGAAACTTGCATTGTCTGAGGTAAGGCAGAGTCTATATCAGCTCTTTACATCTTTGCTTTAGCTTAAATCAAAGCTCTTAGTCTATTAACCAAGTAGCAAGACCAGATCATCGATGCAATTTCTTAATTTACAAATTCGTCTCAATACGCTACTAAGTTTTGAAATATCATCTAAAATCGTTGTTATAGAAACGCCAAATCAGAACTCAAAATCCTCCTTAGTAAAGTGTGGGATAACTCAGAAACAACTGAGTGAGTTTTTGCTTGCCAAAAACCCAAAAGACCAATTGACTGAGGGCTCCTCAAGAATGACAGATGGGAGTATTATTGCAATAGTGCTGGGCTCTACCTTCTTTGCAAGTCTAATGGTTCTCTTTGTCTGCTACTTTATCTACTATTTCAAAAAGGTTGAAACAGAAAGAGCGAATGGAGAGAGTGACATTGAAAGGCAATATGATTCTCGCCATGAGAAGTTAAATACTTCTTAAAGATATATCCCAACATATTCTTTTCCAAGTGCTCTCTCAATGACTGAGGATGGCTACTTTCTGTGTTCGCCAGGTCTAAAAGTGAACTTCGGCTATGAGTAGATATAATAGTTATCTAAAAGATGTGTTAGACTAAAGATCCTTTTTCAGCCTAAAATCTTATGCTATTTAGCTTAGAGGCTAGTCTCTAGTCTTTGCAGAACTGTTGAGCTCAGTTTGCCTCATGCTGCTCTTCATAAGAGTTCATAAGCTACATGCTCCATCAACTTCTTGGTTAATTTAGTGTAAACAGCCAGGTTAGAATAGGGTACGAATTTTAAGCGCGACTATCGAATTCCCAGCAGCTTTCCAAAACTTACTATTGTAACGATGAATGCAGAGCTAGCCATCACTTTATTAAGCCTGAGAATGCTTTTATAGAGGCCAACCTAAGCCTGTATCTTTAGGAAGCAAAAACGTGTCGTGCTTTTGTGATTAGGCATGCAACCTACATTCGGTAGAGGAAATCATATAGAAGCAATAAGTTTGAAACTCTAGGCTTTAATACCAACGTTGAGTTGGGTGATGCTTGAAAAATGACTTTAGGAGTTTAGAGTCGGAGACTGGTTCAATCTGTTTTTAAATTATTGGGGTTTTGGGGTTTTGGGGTTTTGGGGTTTTGGGG